TCTAAATTCGATTGAACCAAAAACAATAGACAGTAATTGTATTAATTTTTCGATCAAAACTATAGTCGAGCTTTCCCCCATTCCACAAATGCTCAATATCAAAAAACGAAATCAACTTGTGAGTAGCAGACCGCATACAAATTGTATTACCAAAAACGCATTGCGGCCCCATTGAAATATAATGAATTTATATAGGAATTTGATGGTTTATAGCCGACCTATTGTAGAATTATGAAGTCTGGAAGAGAATAGAAAATGTGCAAAAGATTTATTAATGACAAAAAATATATTTGCAAGCTAACTTTAAGATGAGGATGTTGACCATTAAATTGGGAATAAACCATAGAAAAATACTTGAGGAGATTGTCTGAAATAATTATATCAATAACTCAATATTTTTATGGCTTAAGATAAAATTGATTCCTTTTTTAATATTTAGTTAAATACAAATTCCATGTCACAAAAATATAATTATATACGTTCTGTAAAGTAATTTAATGCTTAGAATCAGGAACAATTCAATCTAAGAATTGATTGTGAAAGAATATTGAGATTTTAAAAGTCAAAGTCACAAGTGAAATCATTTATTTTAAATAGACCACCATACACCATGCACTTTTGAGCATCAAACAAAGATAAAACAAAAAGTTCAACGTTGTGTCTATTAGTCCATCCTCTAGTGAAGCTATTTGCTCGTTCCAAATTGTAGATTCCTAGAAAAGAAAGAGCAAGAAACTCCATGCTTATTCTACATTTCCCATGTAATAAAGTCAGTTCTTGATACAAAATATAAGTCTGCAAGTAAACGATTCCTTCTAGTAAAGAACCACAGATGGGCAGAGGTGCCCAGTGGGTGGGATAGGGTGGGAAAGACAATGTGGGACTAGCAGTAGTAATCAGTTTAGCGAACAATTTACGTCTCCAGCGATGCATGGGATATGCCCGCGTAATCTGGTCGGGACGAACATCTGCATATACGAATATACGTATTGTTTTTTAAAAGCTATACTTCATTTCTCTTTATAGTTTCGAATAGAGCCAAAAGGATTTTCGTGTTCGTTTTGTTCGTGTTTGAAATTGATGGAATCGTGTTTTCAGTACGGAATTTTGAACTGAATTGAAATATTTGTTCACTGTAGCTGTTGTTATTTTTCTGGTACCTAGCTCTGGAAATTGAGATGGTTTTGATTTTTGTCAGAGTTTCACTTTCTTACAACTGTTATTAGGTAGGGACACATCTATCAAATATGATCTCAAGTAAATATGTATGTATGTGTATAAAGACGATGTATGCCGTGTGCAGGTATATAGCGACGGCTATGTTTCGTCAAATAAGTTCCCCAGTCGTCGTCGTGAATATACGGTCCCACCAAAACAACGTAGACTATTCACTAGTGCAAAAATATCACTTGTATTAACACTAATTATTGGGTGTTTCATTTTATAGAACTTTACTTTGTGCTATCTGAAGCGAAAATAATTTCATGAAAATATGTATTGGGTTTTATTTCTTTGAGAAACTTTTATAACTTTGATTGAATAAGCATAATACAGATCATTTCAATTTAATAATACTTACTTAATATTATAATCCCAATGTCCAATAACAATAATAATATTATTGCCAAAAAATAAGCAAAGTCATACCTCATTACTGACAAAATCCCGATTGAGTTGTCATTCTGGGATTGTGACCAATCGCGTTGATCCGTCGCGCGTGGTTGGCGCGTGGCCGACAGGCGGCGCGACAGTCGCCCGTCCGTCGCAGGCGCAACATTAATTATTGCGAATAAGATGAGACGCGTTTTCCTAGTTATTTGAGAAATTGACGTGTAATTGGTCGCGTTTTGTTAAACTTTGGGTTGGCTGTAGACATTTTGTCGGTTTAATGATATATAAAATTGTGTCAAGTCAGATCCATCCAGTTGCTTAATGTTCGTGTCCGTGTAGAATCTAATTGTAAGTGAATATAATTAATAAGGTGAATGAACTTATTTTTCGTGAATCGTACCTACATTATCAGTTTCAATTCCGATGAACTTTGTGACTGTTGTAGACAAATTACCAACTGAGAACTTTTCGGGTCAATCTACGAAAAAACGTTCCATTACTTGATAGGGATTATTATGCACTTATTCATTAAAATAAGTAGTAATTTATTTTCCTGCTAAATCTAGGATTCGTGCTGCAAAATAAGCTACAATACTGCTAAGTAATGGAGAAATCAGATTTCAAAAATCTGATGTGGCTCCTCAATTTTTACGGACATGGTTGCGTAGTGGACGATTGACCTCCGAATTGAAAAATAAAACCTAACGATTACGGCAGAAATCATGCAGTCTTATTTCTCGCTTCTGTTCGGATGTTTGAAAAGCATCTGTGTTGGAGTCTGTCTTTCTTAAAGACTCTATACATTTATAGTTAGCATAGTTCATTCCATGATCATTTTGACAACCGGTCTATAATTTCGAGCTATAATTATATTAGCTAATCTTATTGACAATACAATTACACAAATAAAAATGCAACAAATTAAATCGTAGACTATGAAACCTATAAAAAATATCCCTATTCAATTCTCACATAAAAAGCCAAACATTAATATCAACAATGATTTTATTATAATTGTGAAATATCATATAATGTCGCCACGCGACTTTTAATGGGTTAATACGTGTATTAATGGATAAAAGACATAAAAAACCCTGCGTACGCCGTTGACATTGATATCATAATCAAAATATGAAATGATATTTCGGGGGTCGAAATGTACTCTAGAGGGATTAATTTTCGCCCCCTGATTTTGTTTGTTTTAATGATATTTTGTTAAATTGATTGTTTATTTTATTGGATTATATTTGTTTATATGTAAGCTGTTGTCAAGTTGTTTGCTTTTTCAAGTTCTGATCATATTGTTTCTTTATTTGAAAAGTACTAGATTTAGGGGTGTTTGTTGAAAAAAATGCTTCTTTTTAATTTTAGTTTAAGATACTTTCTTTGAATAGTATTTTATCACAAGCACTTATATTACCATTTTAGAGACATATTCAAAAATACTCAGTAAAGCTACTGTCAATAGCAGGTTTGAAACTTCTCAAAGATTTCCCAGCAAAAATCCATTCACAATACGCGTTGCCTATCGTCAGCCATTGTCAGAACAGTCCACACCAGACCACTACGTTCGCACGAAAATAACCGATAAAAAACGAACAACGCCACGTGCCAACGCATTATACGATAACCGTTGGGGGCGGTTTTAGGAATCGGGGACAACCCTAATTTTATTGTATGTTAGAATTTCGGAAGTTGAACTCTATTTATAGTGAATTAAGGTTTATATTTCATTGACAGCGGTAGGATAAGTCTTTTGAGTACGCGTAGTAGGAATTGTGATTTTCTTGCTGGGAGCTAAAGGTTGAATTTACTTTGATATCTGGTCCTAAGTTTTCATTACAGGGTTGTCAGAAGATTTCTCTATTTATTGGTGGGAAAGGCCGCGTGTCAGATCTAACACCAGTTTTAATATTTTAGGTCACGTGTGAGTCACGTGCTGGGCTTTGGTAAAAAACTGGACGTACGTAATTCGCGTTTTATTGTCGCATTCTTCTTGTTAAATGTTATGTCGATTTTTGTAGTATTGTGCGATTTTTTTGCGGTCGGACGTTCGGTGGGTCTATGTTATTAGTCGCAAATTGAGTGATCACGAATGGTGGATGAATGAGCTGTAATTACTTTATTTTAACCAGTTTTATTGTTACTTTTTTAATTTGAGGGATTAAGGCCTGTTTCACGCTGTATATGAAGAACCATTACGTATCTACCAGATACTTTGAATATAGAAATTTTGTTCTTCATCAGGAACTTAAGTTTGTAAAACAGGCTGATAAAACGACAGAAGACAGGGGTCATAGTACTATCTAGATGGGTAGTAGCAACTCCAAAATTCCAAATCTCTGTAATACTCTGACCATATAATTCAGACAATTAATTCTTATTCATTAGATAAAATGGCACATTTGTTACAAAAATATATATTTATTTGACATACACGGCTGATAAATGAGCAATATTAATTTTCCTTTCCATTTGCATAATTTAATAACATTTCTATGGTTTTAAAAACATCTTCAATTTATTCAAAAAATAAGACAAGAATTACACGACAGCTTTATTCGTCACATTAAAGGAAGTTATTTCATTTGTATTTTCTATAACGTTATATTATTAAGACTATCCTTTTGTAGCATTTTCAATATTCATTAATACTCTCTACAACTAACGCCATCTATTGACTAGACATCGAACTAATCTTTGTTATCAGGGGTGGCGCACTCCAGAAAGGGCCTATTTCCGTCCACGTGCCGACAACAATGTGAGACGAGAACGATATTGTTACGATATAATACACGTCATCGTTACGTCATAATAATATCCCGGATTATTTACATTGACGACAGGAAATTGCCTTTTTTGGCCCTTACGTCAATTGTGTTGGCATTTTTATTGATAGATTGCGATGTCAAATAAAATGAGCAATTTTGTAATATAAGCACATTGCTGAGTAAAACAAGATTGAAGAAATCAAGTTGCTTTTACAGTGTCTTGATATAGGTAGTGGTTGCAGTGAGACTGCCAAGCAATAGATCTCGGTTCTAGGTTAAACAAGTAACTAATAATTGTTACTACTTACTGATTTCCCAAAACTATTGAATAACTTTAAACTATGTAACTTTATTTAACTTGCCTATGCTTTTAAAAACTTATGGATCATTAATGACAAATCCTCTGTCCATCTTTCTGTTTAATATTGTCATGTTAAGTATGTGAAATAATGAAAATTAAAAGTGAAGGAAATATTTAAAAGACAAATTTCCTCAGTAAAATTATTTAATATATTTACATTTTCGCTTACACTAAAATCAAACCGTTATCCTTTTCACATGTTCAAACAAAACAAACAAAAAATAAATAAAATTAACTACAAAGATCTTTCCTTTCATTCAGTCCGTGTCAGACAGCATGATGCAATTCTGAAAAATGAAAATCAAAGTTTTAACAACTTTTGTAGCACTTACCACATATATTTGACTAATTAAATGTCAAACGTTGCAATTTCAACTACTATAACTATACCCAAGTTAAAAGTATTTATTTGTACTGCACCAAATTTCACACAAATAGGTTCAGTAGTTTAGGCGTGAAGAAAAGACAGACATACAGACTTTCGCATTTATAATATTAGTTTGGATTAATTTCTCTAATACTTATTTTGTATACTTGGTTTGTGGGTGAAAGAAAAATAGCAAATAAATGCGATATTAACCAAAATAGTGTCTGCTATCTCCGTTTGATATCCCGGGCTATAGCGTCGGTGTTATGTCCGTGTGAGTCTGAAGTAGAGTTACTTTAGATAATTATAAAGTTTGTAAGGAGTTTATTGCCTACTAAATAAAGAAACAAACTAACGGCTTAACAAATCTTACAATAAGCAGGAGTGGTACATGTATGGAGATGGTAAAATGATTGGTAAGTACACTCACCTCAAATTCTCCAATAAAAATATCCGAATCGTCAGATGGTGGACCCTGGTCGATGTTATCCACAGCTGTAATTTGAGGACCTGGGGAGAAAGTAATTTCAACCTCAGACTTTTTGACACATACTTACGTATTATCTAACCTAAAACAAATCTAAATAAATACTTGTTACTGGAAAATGATACACCATACAAACGCGACTAGTAACGCCATCTATTGGTCAGATAGCAACAACACAACTGCACTCTTCAACTCCCTGTACGTACATAGATTGCTTTCGATTTGGGAATAGTTAAAATTAATTAAACGCCTTCATAAGGAGTGTAATAAAAAATATGACAAAAATGCAATTTAAATAAGTTTATACGCTATATTTACTCAAGTAATCTCCATCAAATTTAACATCCCTATAGGAAAAGGACATGAGACTAAAATGTGTTGAAATTTATAGAAAGGTCAACAAATATTAATATATTGTTACCTAATGGTGCAATGCATTCCATTGGTTCAAACAGGTCCATGGAGATGAGGTCCAGCGGAGGAGATGGTGCCGGCGGAGGTAATGCGCAAGTCGATGAAATTCTTGTTCCTGATGAAAAACGGTTCGCAATTGAAACACTACGTTTTATAATTAACTAGCGGTCTACGTACAAACCTTCTGCGGACTTCCAAAAATAATTCAAGACCAAAATTAACCAAATCGTTAAAGGCATTGTTGACTTTCAGCCTCGAGTAGGAGAAGAACGGAGTGGTTATTAATCAGTAAGAGTCTGATACTCTACGTAAAGAGTAATAATAACTATATTGGATCTTTCTAGCAAATATAACTTATAACATTACAACGAAAAGTGGCATTGATTTTTATATATTTTAAAGATTTATTGATTGTATGATTTTTGATTGATTTTTTTAATGTAATACGGATATCGTTATTGCAATAATGGGCTTTTGGAAAAAAAATCTACGAATACAATGTTTGGGTTCCTTGCTAGAGAAGAACACCGTCCGTTCCAATAACGATTCCGCGTAAGCGTCGCGCGAACTCAACAGTCCCGTTGTGACTTGAAACTAATAGAGCTTAACTTAAATAATTAACGCCAGTTAATCATCATTTTTAATGAACATAAAAATTTAACAAAATATGTAGGCGCATAATTAAATAACGCCTGGACGATTTTTGACATCTCTTTTCTTGATAAAGGGATAAATCTGGAGTAATTACTCAGAAAATAGCTGGACAACCGCGCAGCAGAGACAAGCTATTAGTTTTTAATAAATTAAGTGTGTCTCACGATAGTTAGTATTCAAAAAATCTCATTAATCAATACAAAAATTGCTAATTATATTTCTAATATTTCAAATCTTTGCAGATCGATCTACTCACCAGTCCGCAATCCATCATCGAAGCCACTGCAACTATCCAAACGTCTTGGCTCTGGATGAGTTAGAGCGCTGGGAGCACCAATGCGAAGGTCGTTTCTCGAGGTGCATGGTTCCACGTTGACTTCCCCAACTGATGAAGTAATACATGTGATCGGTACACCTATTCAATACTGATTAGGTCCAAAAAAGTTTGATCGAGTGTTTAGATATCAGTTTTTGGCAAAGACTTTGATAAAGTAAACCACCATACGAATGTAGGCGCTGAAAATATAAATCAGGATGGGAAAGAACCTTGCCTTATTTTCACAATAAAAAAAAACATTAAACACAACTCACACGACATCTCGGACACTTATGTGCAACTAGCTAAACATTTCTTTAATTGCAAATATGTTTACGAAAAGAACATTATGTGGTCTGCTCTTACCATCAGCAGATAAAGCAGTATGATAAGCATGGTGAGGTTCTTCAACAGTAAGCTGCAGTCTTCCCCCAGGTTTGATTCTCGGCACAACAGTCGCTACTACTGGCACTCTGATCTGGACTGCACCATTAGCTTCTGTTTTTGGTTCTATATCACCGTGTGGAGCTACGCCATCTTCTGTATCATTGTTCAGAACAATTTTGCCACCAACTCTTAAATCTTCAGCAGTGGCTGGCACTAACATCTAAATGATACAGTTTGATATTTTATTAAAGCTGGTATTAATTCATCGGTAAGCTAATATAATAAGTTTCATAATATTAATAACAGATACTAAATGATTTTTAGGCATGTGTGCAACAAAATTATTCAAATTTTAATTATAATACTTTATCAGACGTTAACTACTTTGTGGGGATCAATATAAACCCCGGTTTCCGAAAGGCCGATCAATGTTAAAATCAATTTAATCTCTTGTCAAGTCATCTGATTGGTTAACTGAATTATCAACAACCATTAAGATGACTTGAAGGGAGATTTAACAGGAGATTAGTTAATTTTGGCGTTGACAAGCCTTTTAGAAACCGGGTGTAAGACACGTAATAAATGTTTTACGCCAAAATAATTTCCTCATCTGAAAACAAACCGACATTACCTGCTTTCCACCAGGGAGCTTCGTGTCAACAACCTTCACCAATACAGGAGTACCATTGTCAGGCTTCAACAAAGCAAATGGCGTCTGCCTAGTAGCCAAAGCTACTCCCATATGGTAAGTCTTTATGGGGTCTACAATCACTCCACTGCTCATAGAAGCCCAAGGCCCTTCGTTCCAAATGTCCCCAGGTTCAAAGTAAGGCTTAGGAAGTTCCCATGGGTCCTTTGTAGTCCAAGTTGAAGAAGATGGGCCTTCTACAGAAGAGGACATAGAGGGTAGGTAAGGTCCCACTGAAGACGATACCTCGCAATGTTCTACTTGAGATCTGTAATAGAGAATTGTTTTGGTTTTAGATGATTTTATTCGGATATTTTTCTGTTAACACTTTGTAATAGACTAGATAAATAACTTTACAAATGGATTCGGAAGAAACAATTATGATTTTATGACTGTGTCTTGTGTATTCGGCCTTTTCGACCTACATTTTTTATTTTATGTTATAGTCCGGCAAACGAGCCGACGGATTACTTGATGGTAAGCAATCAGCGCCGCCCATGGACACCCACCCGCAACTACTGAAGAGTTACCGAGTGCGTTGCCGACCTTTTGGGGATTAAGTTTCCGGAGATTTAGTGATTACTGATTGAGGATAGAGAATAAAGAATGGGGAGGATTGGGCCTCCGGTCATCTCAGTCACGCGGCGAAACAACGCTGTGATTCGTTTGAACCGAGATCCATTCCAAAGCTTGGCTCTGACTGACTGCAAGGTTGGCGCGGTGGCTGGACAACTGGCTGCCGTACGACATGTCGCGGGTTCGAATCCCGCACGGAACAACACTTTGTGTGATCCAGAAATTATTGTTTCGGGTCTGGTGGCATGTGTATGTGAAATTGTATGTTTGTAAACGCACCCACGAGACAGGAGAAAATCCTAGTGTGGGGCAACGTTGAAAAAAAAGAAAAAAAATCTACATATGAATATTGCTTTTATCATAGTACTGACCTAGTAGTATCAGGTTGTGTTTCTGTAACTGAACGAGTAATGCGAGGAGTTGTAGATCTTCCTCGAACATTCACAGGTGGACAACTGCTGTCGTCTGGATGAGCCTGGATAAAAAAACCGTGTTGTCAGTCACATACGGTGAAGGAAAACATCGAGAGAAAACTTTTTTTTGGTGTATAATCATTAAATTACTTTACTGTAGACTGTACTTTACGGTTGAGGCGAGAACGCCTCAGCCTGGGCGAGTAAAGTTTTTAGCCGAATACTAAAAACACACTTGTTCCTTCTCCTAGTTTAGACTGAGGCCGCGGCTGAACATCGGCCCTAGAGCTATCGGCCTATTGGCTCTTTGAGGAATCGTGAGGAAACGAACTTAAAATTTCCGAATATAAGTTTGAAATCGAGAATCCGCCTTGAGGAAGCGTGGTGATTATTCCTCAAACCTTCTCCGTGTTTGCTCAGCAGTAAGTAGTAGTAGGATGATGATGATGATGATGATGATGATGATGATGATGATGATGATGATGATGATGATGATGATGATGATGATGATGATGATGATGTTGATGATGATGACGATGATAATGCCGGCTGAACTGGCTACAACAAAGCAAATAATAATGTAACGTAGCCATCGATCACTAATATCTTTATTATAATCGTAACACCATGACATTACAACTAATGTGTGGGGTCCTTATTAATAGGCGTTCGTACTTACTTTGTTTTTATGGCAGACCAAGTTAGACTGCTGGTTGAATCCCCTCAAACAAATGTTGCAGCGGTAAGGACGTTCGTTTGTATGTGTGAACAGGTGGTTCCGAAGGTTTCCTGTTTAAACAAAGGTTAAAAATAGTTTTTGATTAAGAAAAAGACTTACTAATTTTAATTTGAATTTAATTCTGGTTTTATTTATAGCCTAAAAGATGTGATGCATTCACATAATTTGAATTTTTAAACCTTTTTATTGTATTTTTTTTTATACGGCTCTCATATGGCTCTCCCATACTTACACACACACACACACACGTATTTTTTGTTTTAACATACCTATATAATATGTATTACTATTATACTATTATATTATATACACAATTAATTAATGGTAATTTATTTTAAATTACATTCGCTACTGAAAAGGATAGGGATTTGTAACCTTTTTGATGGAATCCTTTGGGACAAATGTGACATCTGTATGGCTTCTCGTCGGAATGGGTCTTGCGATGAGAGATCAAAGTGGACACGCGATTGAACGTCTTATTGCAGACCTGTGATTAAGGGAACCTTTGCTAGTAACTTCTGAAGATAAGATTCTTAAAAAGTCCAAATACATATGTACTATGTAGATATAGCTAAGTTGTGATTTTTAAATATATTTGGCATAACAAGTTCAAAGTGGTTAATATTCAGCGTCCATTCTTCTACTACACCGCATCAGAATATTTTCACGTGAACCCAGATGATAACAATATGTAAACTAATCGACATATCCAAACTAATATTTTAAATGCGAAAGTAACTCTGTCTTTTCTTCACGCCTAAACTACTAAACCGATTTCTGTGAAATTTGTTACAGACATAGTTTGGAACTCGAGAACATAAGGATAGTTTTTTAACCAAAAATCTGCAGGAAGTCATTATTCCACGCGAACGGAGTCGCGGGCAAAAGCTTGTTAAGTTATAATAAATATTAAGAAGTAGTTCTGCACCCTTTATTGTGAGGGGAACCTCATCAAATGACTTCTCTTGCCAAGGGTATGGCGAGAGGGAGTGTCACGACTCTTACTGACTAAAAACCCCCCGTTCCTTCTGCTTTAGACAGTTGTCACGGTACCTTATTCGGCCACACAGCTTAGGCTGAGAACTGAACATTGTTAACTGGTGATTTGTATAACTATGTGATTGAGAGTAGGTACCTACACGAATTTGATAAAACTTAATACCTATAGTCAGAATATTAATTCGATTCCTGATTTGACATGACCTATTGTCATTTTGTGAAATAATGATACCACATATAACAGTATAGTGATGAACACAAAAATCGATAAACAATCAGTGAATCAGTTTCAGGAAGGTATTCAAAAAATTACGGCTACCGAATGGTCTAAATGCGTATCCCATGTTGTCAAAGAAGAGGAAAAAATTTGTAAGCTAGATATGTTAATTGACAATAAATATCACAGACACAAACAAAAAGTAACAGCGTTAACGATAGCGATGACGGCGACAATTTATAAAATGTCTGTTTTACTTGTCAATGTTCCTTCATGATCACATTTTTTATTAATTTCACACACAATTACAAAAGAAAAGTCTCAGATCATTAATTAATTGTCAAAACTCGGGTCAGAAATATTTTATTTCCTGATAAACTTAGATTAAATTTATAAACGAGAGGAATCGATTCAGAAATACTCGATTTCCACATCGAATAATTTCGCAACGTCACTATTTATTACGTGTCATGACGTTGCAACACTGAAATTGTCAAATCTGGAATGGAATTAAAATTCCGAGTATAAGTATGTATAGATCGAACTAGTTAGATGGTGTAGTGTGGTTTATTCTTACCATGAAAGAAAAAAACCTAAAGAAGGTACAATGAAATGAATAAAATAAATAAATAAATACCTCGCATGCATAAGGTCTTTCTGCAGAATGTATAGCGCGATGCTGGCTCAAAGTAGAAAGCTGTCTAAAGCTCTTCCCGCAGGCGACGCAGTGGAAGTTCCTCTCATCGGTATGGGTGGGGAGATGACGCATCAATGTGTACTGATGTTGGAACTCCCGGCTACCTATTGGAAAGATTACTGGTATTATTTTCAAGAGACATGCAGATATCAGAACCCAGATGTGGAAAAGTAAATTCGCTAAATTACTTTAGCAGTTCTTCCTTATTATAGCACGTTGATTTTTTTGTCGTAATTTTATATCAATATTTTAATATAGGTATTCTTAAATATTAAATACACTACGCGCACTACGCTAAACCATAATACTATGTTCTGTTCGAAAAGTATGTTCTGTTTCCACTGATAAACCTTGTAAATTGTCTTATGGGACATATATTTAAGATATAGTTTATAAAATTTAACAAACAATAAAATAGAAGGTTAAATAAAGTTATCAACACCTATGTACGTACTATGAGAATTGAAAAAACATATACTTACAAATGCCACACTCCCATAGCTTGACAGTTCGTCCATGTCTCTTCACATATTTGACGAAGTGGAATCTAGAGCGAGGATCAGCCTTGTCCACCTTACAAGTACCGGGACCCTTACCTCGGTCTGTACCTGCTAGATATAATAATAACAGAATAAGAAAATAGGAAGACAAAATTCAATAATTCGTCTAAATATCGAGTTGTCAATTTTTTTTTAAGTAAATTGTTGCCGTATGCAATTTCTCTTGTGTGCGTGTGTTTTTAGGTGCGTTTACAGAAATTCTATTATACACAACAACAATTTGTGGATCATCCAAAGTGTTGTTCCGTGCGGGAATCAAACCCGTGACTGTGCAACGACAGTAGCCAGTTGCTCAGCCACTGCGCCACGCGTACAGTAAAAATAATCTTTATCTATGCGGAATTTCATGCAGATTCGTCCAGTTAAAACATTACGGGAAAAAGGTTAATATTTATGCTAATTATACCCACCCACATATCCATTTATGCCCAACTATTGAACATAAATATTATATAAGGCTGTTTGAAAATCAAAAATCTTCACCTAATATGGTATACCTATTCCCTTTGTCCAGCAGTACTTGATCAAAGATGCAGTCTCCAATACAATTTAATTAATATAGACAGCTTCTTATAATATGCTGTAATCAATATTGGTTACTTTACCTGTACCCGATGTACCCGCAGATGTGGAAGACACGAGATGAGGTTCTCCAAATATCTTTTTACTAAACGTGATGCCGTTGCGATTGGTAGACTGTAGCACAGCGCTCGAAGTATCGGCTTCCTGAAATGGGTTCAGGGATAAATTACATTTTGGGCTTATAATTACAGCTTATTTTTGCACATTTAACTACACATATTATTATAAAAAGGCCTTCAACGTTGTGGTGGCCCGTAGTTTGGAACCTGGTATGTACCATTGCGACTTTTTCTGACTTTTTTATATCATTATTCAGACATCACTAAGGAAAAAACATCATAAAGAGACCTGGACTAAAATACGGTAGTTTCCAACTAGTCAAATTCAATACTTTTATCCAAACGTCAAAAACGATACTTTTCTATGAAATTTTTATGAAAAACTGAGCTGTGACGTCATAACTTTTTGCGTCAAATAGCTTACTTATTTCTTAATAATTAGCTAAAAAAATCAAAAAATTTGTGTATCGATCGATCGATGAATAAAAGTATAGTTAATTTTCCATATTTTATTGTATTGAAACGTCGAAATAATTTATTTTTGACCTAGGAAACTACCCAATTCCTATTTTATAAAAAAAAATATTTAAGGTACGCGTAAGTCCTATACAAATATTTTCTTGTCTAGGAAATCTATTATACCCACCTTATAGAGTCAATTTAGTTAGAAAACGCTTAAAATGTACCGCATTTTTAGTCAGTGTCAATCCCTCTCGCCTCACCCAGGGTGGGAGAACTCATTTGATAATTTTCAAAACACGATTATACCTTCATCTCACTCTTAAGCGCAGCGTCCAAATCTTTGCCAAAAGTCGTTTGTCCGGTGGTACCAAACCCTGGCTCGGAGACCAGGGACGCAATGTTGCCATCTTCCTCCGTCCATGCAAATCTAGCTTGCTGCTGCTCCAAGCCATCAGAGAAGAAGCCGTCACGAAACAGAGAGCGGGGCACATCGAGCTGTTAGTAAAATGGGAGAAGATAAATGATCGATAAAAATGATAATTATATTTTTTTATGCGACAGGTTGGCAAACTAGCAATTCGATTAGGTACCTGACGGTAAGCAATCAGCGTTGCCCATGAACATCCGTAACAACGGAAGAGTTACGAGTGCGTTGCCGACCATAGTTGGTAAGTAGTTCAGAATCGTTCATAATTATAATACGTAGAAAGGAAGATGAATAGTTACGTATAAATGATAAGTGATTAGGAAGTTGTTATCAGAAAATAGTCTAAAAATATTAAATTTCAATAATGCGTCTAGAAACCTAATAATTTTATTAAAAAAATCGTTACAATTCAATACATTCTGCCTACATGGATAAATCGCCTAAATAAATACTATTTACCTATTACAAAATATCGAAAGAAAGCCACCCCATCTTACCAAACAATAATGACTTTAATTTCGTTACGTCAGTAAGACGTTTTTCCATTGATAAGATATTGATGGTTTTGATTTTGGCAGTTCAAATGACAGACGTCTGACCTCAATTGTCAATCAAACTTGAAAGAAAGCTGATGAGGCCTTCATCATGTCAGCTCTTGTTAAAATTAGTAATTACTAAAATAATGTAATTTAGTATCTAAGTACATACGTCATTCCTGCTGGACGTAGAAAGTAATGGCTCTCCACTGAATCCTAAATCCTTTTTGTCCACCTTGAAGTCGAACTTGTCACTCAAACACACTTCACGTATGCTGCAACAACGGAATCATCAAAAAACAAAATTAAAACAAACGTTGAACAAATCACCATGGCCGCGTTTCAACTTTTTGCTTTAAAAAAATCGAAGATCGCACCTTATAATCTCATCACCGGGTTGCATGAAACCCCTGTCCGGCATTTCTTCTTTTATTTCTTCTTTTATTTCTTCATCGGAAAACATCATTTATTTTTGCAATATTCAATTATTTTTTCGTGACAAAAAACAACACGACGTCAACGTCAAACAGTCTGTTTTTTCTCAACTAGATTTTTGTTTCTATGACGATCAGTGTTCTGCATTTGAATTTTTTTGTTTTTAATTTATTTTTTTCTAAGCTGCTTGTGTCAAATATTTTTCGGCTGTCAGTTGCAATGTGACCTCTTTTGAACTTTTAAAGGTCGGTGAACTATTTTAAAACGCTAAAATAATACTATTATTATACCGAGGTTTTACTCGTGTAATTATTATTTTTTAACTTTACAATTTTATTTACTAAAAGTATTTGTATTTTTTGTTCTGACATTTTATTCTTTTCATGAAAGTCTACAAAAACCTGGAAATAAAAAGCGAATTACCCGAACCCTCTTAAAAAGATACCTTGGAACCGAATTTTCGGCTCGATTGTCCTAAAATTTCCCATTCGCCATTCTAAAAGAATGTTGTTCACAGAAATGTGAATAAATAAAATTATTCAGTGTATTTTCAAGAGGTTTGTTACAACGTCTAAGTGGTCTGCTCATTTCGTTGCGGGGCCCACTCGAATGCTTGAAGAACACTTTGGAACCAACTTAATGTTTATGAGAAGAAAAAAAATCTTTTGACTAAAGAATAATTTTTCTGTCTGTATCAAGAGTTATTATTATTATGTTACATGTATTGACTGTAATTCAACATAACATGTATTAAAAGTCTAAGAAAGTACCTATCTATAACAGGCTGTGCTTGCAAATTGTGTGACGTATTACGCTATACAAATTATGTGGATGCAGCTGAGGGCCAAGTAAGACCTGAGGTTCTACATTCCCCGGAGTTGCGGAATAAGCGCTTTGTCTTCCGGAGCAGGAGATACCAGTAAGAGTCTTACTCTACCAGTAACCCAAACAAAACATGTTCAACAAACGCGACCGCAAACTGGATAAAAAAAGAAATCTTTCCTAATGCGATAAAACAGAGAGTTTTAATTTCAATACAATAATATTACTTACATTTATATATATGTCGTCAGTTGGAAGCCTCTATCAATAGGTAAGTAGGTAGTAAGTCATTCTAGGAGCAGTTCCTAGAATGACGGAACCCCTCTTTCAAGTGTGGGAGAGCCAAGCTTCAGCACGAATGGGTCGGCTCGACCGGAGTGATACCACGGCCTCACAGAATACCGGCGTGAAACAACCCACATTGTTGTGTTTCGCTGTGTGAGTGAGGTTACCGGAGGCCCAATCCCGTCCCTTCCCCTATCCCTTCCCGATCCTTACATCCGCAACCCTTATCCCCAAAAGGCCGGCAACGCACTCGTAACTCCTTTGGTGTTGCGGGTGTACTATCAGGTAATCCGTCAGCTCGTTTGCCGACATATAGGTATCATTAAAAAAAAAAAAGTTCCGTTCCATTTGAATCAGTGGTTTGTGATGAGAAGGAAGGTAGGTAATAGGTAATATATGTAGGTATTTGGGATATCTTAACATACTCCTGTTAATATTGCATTAAACGCTAAGATGTTTACAGCCAGTTGGAAATGAAACCGATAGTCGACGGAATGTCTTTGATTATCACACCATGTGATTTGATTGAAATACCTTCCACGTGTCTGGGCGGCTACTTACCCACTTATGAGTCGAGAACCACCCCTCCCCCCTCTTTTTGTTTAGGGGATGGGGGATGTGTGAGCGAAAGGAATTCAATAGGGATGGTGATTAATTTTTATTTTAATGCCCGTCTTAATTCAAAATATTTGATACGTATTTTGTTCTTCTCGCGGAATTAAATACATTAAAGGTCATAATAATCAATAATAACCAAATAATTGAAATTTAAGAAATTTAAAGAAATGACACTGATTAATATGTACCTACCTATTTGGTAAAAAGTGGAGAAATATACATAAGTTTTCACTACCTACGTACATATTCTCAACCTGGTTCTTCTATATCTTTCTAGATATTAATGAATATTTTTTAATTATACAACTTTTAAACCCGTATACATAAAAGGTTAAGAATATTTATAATTATTTATTAAAAAAGCAAACATAACCTTTAACATAATTTCATACTAGTAACTCCATCTATTGGTTAAATTATATTTAATATTGTAGCGCCATCTTTGATGTTTAGTACGAACTACGTAAGTACAATGTGTGATAGGTTCACGAGTTGATGAACACAGAATGGAGTAATACAGAATAGTGAATAGCGCCATCTAGGTAAATTATATAGAAGTTATTGCAAATGTACTAAGCGACCTTGCTTGACTTTACAGGATATGTTATTAGTTCGTATTTTCATCTGTAGATGGTGTAAATATTTATTTTAATTTTTTCTTGTGGCAGGTACATAGGTATTGATAGGTATTTCTAGTTTGTTTAATTCAAGAATAACATTTTTATATAAATAATGAAATTTTAATTTTATACAGTTTCATATTGTTTTTTTTTTAATTTATCAAGTAACAAAAATCAAGGTATCAATTATTTCGGGTTAGGTATTTATTTACCTACATTAGTATAAAAAGTAAGGTAAAACAGTATTTTTTTTTACTAAAACAACATTTAAGATTTTTTTTGATTGATGTTCTCAATTAACTACTACTTTATAAGTAGGTTTTAGAAATTTATCGAGGTAGGTATTCCTAGTTTGATCATTGAGTCGATAGATGATATATTTTCCACGTTCGAAATTTTTCGCAGCAACTTAGGTAACACGCTTATTTTAGAGTTTGGTAATTTAATTCGTTTAGATCCCTATTAAGACATATTTACACCAAAAAATAAACCTAAATAATTTTCTTTTCAAAAATATGTAGATATAATTTATTTTTAAATAATAATTTTCATTACTTAGATTTTTAAAATATGATAATATTTAAGAACATTCGTTGATTTGACAATATACTTACCTAAGAACCTGTCTACCTACTTTTATAAAAATAAGAGTGTTTTTTTTTCACGTAAAAATATAATGGCAATTAGGCAAATAATTGTCCATTTTCCAAAAAGTCGATGACAATTTTGGAATGTTACATCTTTATCTGATACCTACCACCTAATTCCAAGTCCCCATAAAAACATCAAATCCAGCCTCTATCAATGCTAGGGTTGCGGAGTACGCGCAATGAGTCACCGCGGCCTCGGCCCGAAAAATCTTTATCTTCGGGTAAATTATTATGTATTGTACAAAGTGTATACACTAGCTTAAACATCTACGTTAATAGGTATGTAGGTAGATACAACAGCCAATGTCCTTTAGACGCGATAAATCGTCATTTAAATTGACTATTTTGTATTTCAACCTTTTTTGTAATTGCTAAGATTTATCAACGCTTCGTTCCATGATTCCATCCACGACAAAACAAAAGCAATCCAATACATCGGGATAAAATTGGAATTAAAACCGCACAGCAGCTTTGTTAGCAATTTATTTTCAGATATACCACCAAAAAAGCCTGACCTCTATTCGCGAACAAGTCTTGTAGGATTATAGCTCAGGATATAATGGTGGTGCATATTGATATGCGGTCTTGTATTCACACGCTCAAATATGTGTCGTGGTTATTAAAACATCGGAGAAGGTGCTCGATCTTAGTCTGTTTGACAGAACGCCTTGCCAATACCTGTTTTCCGATGCCTAACTTAGATAGTCATTATGCATAGTCATTTTGTATTTATACTTCAATGCTTTTATTAACAATGGTTGTAGGTTCTAGATATGGCTGCATTTATCTCATGTCAAAATACATGTTGTATTTAATTGCAGATATATTAACTGTGTTCATTTAAAAGGGATTCTGTCGATGAAGGCTGAATTTGCTGTTTTTAGCCAATCTTCGACACGAGTGGGCCGGCTTGACCGGACTGATACGATGGCCTCACAGAAAACTGGCGTGAAACAACCACAGACTTGCGTTTCGCCGTGTGAGTAAGGTTACCTGAAGCCCAATACTTCCCCCTTCCCCCATCTTTTCCCAATCATGAAACATCCGAAATACTTATTCCCAAAAGGCCGGCAACGCACTTATAACTCCTTTGGTGTTGCGGGTGATCATGGGCGGCGCCGATAGCTTACCATCAGGTAATACGTCTTCTCGTTTGGCCGCCAAACTCATAAAAAGAAATATTATTAACGGTGTTAAGTTATAAGGGATTCCGTTGTTAGAGGCTTTTTTTTGTTTTGTCAGGGGAAAATCATCAAATGACTACTCCCGCCCAAAGTTAGGCGAGAGAGAGAGTGTTAGACGCTTACTGACTAAAAACCCCCGTTCCTTCTCCTGGTCTGGGCCGAGGCCGCGGTGACTCATTGCGCGTACTCCGCAACCCTAGCATTGATAGAGGCTGGATTTGATGTTTTTATGGGGACTTGGAATTAGGTGGTAGGTATCAGTAATTCATTGATCGCTTGCATAGGGTCAGCATAGTTCACTGATAAAGAGCGCGTGTCTAGTAATAGGCCTATAGATACCATGTAACTCCTCTGGTGTTATGGATTTAGTAGAGCACTGATTGCTTACCATCAGGAACGGTTACGTTTATTTATTTACTGACCTATCCCAATGTTGTAAAAGTTCTTTAGGAAATGTAGACACACTAGGTCTAATAACAAATTCTACCTATAAACAGCTTATTGAAATTGGTCCGCCGGGAGCCTTTTTGATCATGATCGAATAAGTTTCAGCATGATCAATTCTTACGTAAGTAGACACTTCGATATCAATTGGCAACGTATCATCTTATAGTGTGACCATTACGCTTCAATCTCATCAAGAAATGACAATCCTCTTCGTACCATCACGGCTATCAAGAAACAGTAATAGTGTTCTTCGACATTTCCCATAGGTACTGCAGTGTTTCAATCGCACAGTTCAATCGTTTGACAAATCAGAGCTAAGTTGAACAAAATGGCCGTTGATGACGTCACGGACCAATAATA